TCGGGTTTCCTCTTTTCTGTTTCCCTTCAGGATTCCAAGTTAGCATTTGACTCGTGATTCAGTTTGATGATTTCCTAAACATGAGTCCTATCCACATCCGACGTCTTTGTCTAATTTCGTTTTCACTCGGAAGATGGTTTATTCTGTCCCACAGTAAGCTGTTGCTGATGGTGTCCGGTCAATGGACGTCGAGTATCTTGAGTAAACAATTGTTTATAAATACTTGTACTATTCTCATGATGAATGTGATAGTTTTCCAAGTTTCATCTCCGTACAATAGAAATATCTTGACGTCTGTATTGAAGATTCTGACTTTGATGTTGGATAACAGTCGTTATGAGTTCTACACGTTCTTCAACTGTAGGAATACTACTCTTGTTTTTCCAATCCCTGTGTTTACGTCTGCATCAGGTCCACCCTGTTCATCGATAATACTACCAGATACGTGAAAATTTCTACCTCTTCCAGAGTTTGTCAATCCAGTGTGGTTGGGTTGGTGTTCTGTGTGTTGTATTTTATGATCTTGCTTTTTCCATTGTGAATTTTGAGATCTAATGTTTCAGAGGCTAGTGATACACTGGTTGTCTTGATCTGCATTTGCTCGCATGTATGGGATGGAAGAGTCAGTTAATCTGCAAAGTCCAAATCGTCTATTTGCATCCAAGCTGTCCGTTGTACTCCATGCTTCCGATCATATATTGAGGTTTTCATAATCTAGTCGACCACAGGAAGAAAGAGCAAAGGCGAGAGTAAGTAGCATTGTTTGACACCGATCTTCATTTGGAATTCATCTGTGAGCTATTTTCTGCATACTACTTTTCATTATAATCCGTTATAAGAATTTCATACGACTGTCGAAGATAGTGTTCTTTATATTCAAGTCTCTAGAATCATTCCCTTTATTGGTCACGTGTTGTTGATTAGCTTAATTTGAAGTGCAATTTTGTATGGCAGCAGTATGATTTTGTTATTTAAGTAATCTGATTTCTTAATTGAAGTTTCTTTCTTTCCCCCTAGGCAATCATATGAAAACTCATTTCACAAATATTCAGTCACACACAACCCCAACTTTTTCGACGTACCAGTTCCACATTTTTTGAATCTTATTAATTGGAACATTAGTGACTTCTACTAATTTATTTCTGTCGTAGATACTGCCATCAGTATATTTTAAAAGTCATGGGGCTTGTAACAGATTATTTTTCTCAATGTCACAATGAACGTACGTTAACTATTGTCGGTTATGTATATATGATTCATCAAGCGATTTAATCAACTAACATTTAAGCTAGAAAGAGGGATATGTAAGTTGGTTGTCACATGTGATCAAGCATACATGTTCATACAGACATGATAATAATACGAAGATATACAAATTGTTACTGTTTGAATAAACACTATATGTTAAATAAGTTAATTGAAGTGCTTAACAAACTAAACGTCAACAAACGTAAGTATGGGAGAGGCGCTATAAGTTCATATAAGTACCACGAAAGGGCATCATTCCCATATAGTCAGAAAACGATAATCAATATACATGAATTTGTTTTATCAAAATATAAATTCCGCGGATAATTATGTTCATAATATTTATCGATTTCAGAAAAAAAGCATAATGAGTTCCTACTTAAATAATTTCATTACTATTACCTTCATACAAAAATATAACCATTCTTGATAGATTATCAAAAGGGTAGTACATACATTTGCATAGGTTATTTACAATGTTCTCATCATTATATTATCATAATACCAACATTAAATTACGCATACAAAACACAAAGTTCATGAGAACAAGAACAAAAAAGAATCATGAATTGTCTGTTACAAGATTTATTACTTTCAACTTCTGCCAAAATGTATCATTTTTAAAATTGAACTAAATAAGTCACAACATGTTTATCAATTACAACAATTGAAGATGATATTCTTTCAAGTTTTGTCTAAATTTAAAATCAGTTCAATTTCAGGTTAAAAAAAATAAGTTTGTAAAACTGATATTTTACTAAGAAAAAAAAGTTTTTTTTATTTTATTATGATCGTTTAGTTTAGTGTGGTCAATGTTCTAATCATTCAATTATAGATCAGTTCGCTTAGAGTGTATCTTAGAAATTACCTTTCAATGTTTAGAAATAAATGGAATAGTTGCTGAAATCTTTATCGTTTATTCAGAAAAAATTGATTTTGAGATGTGTCTTGATTATATAATTTAGCTTCATTAATCAGATATATCTATGAATGGATAAGATAGTAAGGAATTCACCACTGAGTTCATTACTACTTAATTAACGTCAAATTATCTACAATCGACTACTGACCGATTTATATCGACCATACATTTTTCATATAAGATACGAAGTTCAATGTGCAATAAATCTTCAAGTCTTCTGATAATTACCATCATCACTTATCTTGACAGTGAGATGAAAACTGAAATGAAAAGTACTTCCTAAGGATATTTTATTTACGAAAGGAAATAATGGAACATAACAAAGATCTATATGTAAGGACAATAGATAAACTTCCAGAATTGTGTCCCAGAAATAAGAAAATCAAATTTCATCCGTTCTCTATGCCTAGGCTAGTGTAAAGTTTTCTTATCAGATTTCTAAAGACAAACTAACCTTTCTGAAATCCACCTTTTTATAAGCCAGTTACTCTTTACGATCTATTGAAAAATACATACAAACCAGAAAGTCTTCCTGAACCAAATTCATATTCCTGAAGAAAAAAACTGTTTGTGAATCTCTAATTTTAACGAAGATATTACTGGTAATAAACCCTCTCAAGAAGTTAATCAGAAAGATATGTCATACAATAAATTATAGTATAGACAAGTATATTTACTCACGTTTGTGCCTAAATTTCGTAAAAGATAGTTTGATGTTGGTTCAGCTTTGATAAGCAATTTACTAGTCATGTTCCTTAAGATTTATTTTCTTAAAGATTTTATTCAGCTTTAAACGTTGAACATTTTTTTCGCATGCTTTACTGACCCGTTTTCATTAGGTGACATGGTACTATCAGTTGCTGTGTACAGAAAAAAATCTTGTTATAATATCTGATTAGCTTCAATAAATGTCATATTACTTGTCAGAAATACTGTGGTAATGTGTAAAAAAAATTGATTGCTGAGGTACAATCAATTTTAGAGATTTTGTGGTCTGTTTATTGAAACCGAAGAATGTTATTAAGTCAAATTAAACAATCTTTCGACGGTCTAATTTGAAATATCCATTTTAAAAAATGTTCAATGCCCAACTTATCTCTGAGTTTGATAGATAATAGACATTCGAAGATCTTTACATAACCGATCCATCTACAAACAACGAAATGCGTTATCAGTTAACCGATATCTCAGCTACTATGTTAAGACAAGGATTTGCATATGAGTTACTACATTGCTATATCTGTTAGTAATTATGATCCTTTAAAACTATCAATTTATCAACTTGTTAAAATTACTGAAATTTCGAAATCTTGAAAGTCACACAAAAGGCTGAATGAATTATAATATCGCAAATTAACAGTGGTAATATCTACGTTTGAGAGATGTTTCCAGCATTTTTCAACATATTACCGCTAATATCTTGAGTAAGCTACTTAAAAAAACACAAACTTGGAATGTTTATGGGTAACTGAAAACTCAACACCTACAAGTGCATTAGTTCAGTAATACATTATTGATGTAATTTCAGTGATTGACTGTTAGAATTGAAACAAAGCTTATGCGAATGATTTTTTATGGTTATAAAGAATGAGTGTATCTTCAGAACACGTCGAATAAGCCACAGCCTCACTGACGCTGGACAGTAATTTTGTTCTTTCCAAATTTGCAGAGAATATATGAAGGCAAACAGATCACACAAGGTTATCCATTGCTACAGCCCATGGTTGACTGTATAATTCCTTATTGGCCTGAAACTAAATGCTTATGGTGCATGGTCTTTTAGTTGTACCTTCGGCATAGATATACGTTCTGAATAATGGCCAATCATGTTGACAGTTTATCCCAGAGTGATGTCGATAAGCGATAGTGATAATTCATAAGAAACTATGAGCTTCTTGGTTACTTTTAATCAGTCTATTTCTTCTACAAGCTCTAAATCCCCCTTTAAATTGTACACAAATGATTGTTTGTGTTCACTGACGACAACTTATTAGTTGAGGATCAAGTATAGAAATAAGATGGATTCATTGTAATATTTAAGTATTGCCATTTTTGCTTTTGTCTGAATTTTTTAATGGAACCCACTGTATAAAGTTAAAAGTGATTAAGAAAACACTGAAACAAATCTTCGCTTACTTAATGAAGTTTGGTTTTATCAACTTTTCAAACAAGGTTATATGTGTTATCACAAGTGTACTTATTACTTAGAATTCATTATTCTTAGGGACAAAATTTGATCCAGCTCCAAGAAGTCAGTGTTTTGTCTTTTGTAAAATATTATGACTTGTTACTAGAAAAAATATGATCAAAAGCTCTTTCATTGTTATTTCTAACCTCTTATCATTACATGTGCTAGACTATTGAACAATAACTGCAAAAAACTACTGCCGTAAATTTATGTGACATGTAAAAACTGAATCATTATGATAATGAAAGACTCCACTTATTATTCGTTTAATTAGCCAATTCCCATTTGATAATACTGGTTTTTTCCAAGATATAGCGAACTGCTTAAAAGTCAGTATATTTCACCTCTCTTTGAACTCTTGGACTAATGACTAAAAGAACCGCTCTATTTATTTTAATATTCAATGTGTTAGTGATATCTTCAATTGATGAAATCTGAACTATTCAACTTCCTTTCTCAAGTTGATCCATTGATAACTAGTTGTCAATACATCCATTTATATACTGACACAACGAATAAAATCTATCGACAATTATGTACCTACACTGACCAACTAATAATTAACCAATCACAAACCTTCTTATTTACATGAGTTTAAAAACAAAAAAATTTTTTATTCTTCAAATAACCAATAGTTTTTAAAGAACTTCTTATTGGTGTTGAATTCAGTCAATTAAATAAGTTGACACAAGTCTACAATTTCATTCAAATATAATCCTATTACTCTCTATTATCATTTAAAACGTCCGTTTTTTTCATAATTATCTTTAACAATTAATAATTATTCACAGAATATTATAATTTCATTAAATGGATAGTCCAACAACAAAACAACCATATGCAGTTAGACAAAGAGATTGGCATGATGGACTATTTGACTGTACAAATGACTGTAATTCATGTAAGTTATTTTTCTATTGTTTATTCTTTTCCTTTTTTTTTAAAAAAAACTTAGTTTTACAATTAAATTGTGAATTATTATTTATTGAGATATTCTATAACTTTCAATTAACTCATAAAAGAAGAACACTTCCTTGTTACTGACGGTACAATTGAAATTTATCGATTTGGAGCAAATTTTTTTTGTTTTTTAGTGGTTGATTATCATACTCATACGAGACAAATGAGTGTTAGTTTCAGTGAAACTCATAAGTGATTTTGATTATAAATCTTGACAAAAAGCAGGAAAACATTTCAAAGTGAATAGATTATTAGAATTAAGCTACAAAGTAATATCAATGATTAATAAAGAGTTATCTCAGCTTATACTTTAATAATCATTCTATGTAATCTGTTTCGCAGTTAAACGCATAACCACTACAATTCTTGTGTTAGCTTTTTATCACAGATATTTATAACCTCAGATAATGGGTCTTACAATGTAACGGATGTTATATCCAAGAAGCAATAATTTTACATTATAATTATACAAGACGAATCAGTCATTCTTTGAATATATCTTGAGTCATTTCAATCAAACCTTCGGGTAAAAAAAAATAAGTGCAAAACAAAATAACCATTTGTACAGTTTATTTTTACATTAAATCTTGACATGTTTTCTTAATTTAGACTTTATTTTTAAAATTCTAGGTTGGCTTGTACTTTGCTGTTATTCCTGTTACATGTGTTACATGTATCGTCGATATGATGAATGTTGGGCAACCCCATGTTTTATTATATGCCCTGGCTTGACGTTAAGAGCATACCATCGGGCTAAACATAATATACAAGTAAGTTGAGTTAAAGTTTTCTATCAAATAATTAATCAATTTCTTAAAGCTATTGTCGAATTTTGTTCGTTCTTAAAATGCGATCAATTACAGCATTGATATGAACTTTATTGATAGCATACAATGAAGTGACATTTACTTGGAAGATCGTCTTGATATAGTTTTATGATTTTCAGCTTAGAATTGTCTAGAAAGATACTAGTAATAGTATAACATTATAATTAAGTTAATGATATTATAATTTGAATCAAAGTACATAAACAGAACATTTGTTGTCATACTATAAGTCAGTTTACAAATAATGGTCTAAAATATATTATTGTCTAGAAATCAGGTTTCATGAACACACTAGTTATAAAAATCACCCCTTTAAACCAATAGATAAGATGGTTTTATTTGATTTAATTTATGATCTCCCTTAAATTCACAATTTATGATATTTTTGTGAATTATTTGTCTTCATTTGAGGTTTCATTGTGTCATATTATTGATTTCGTGTTTATTCAGTTGAAATCTCATGGAAAAAGTAATGCTTAAGTCATTAGTTTCTGCACTCATACATAATGTTAGCCAAATATGATTAGATTATTATCTGACTGTATGATTTTAATGTATGGACGATTGAATGCTTCTTTAAGTGACTAATTTAAAGCACACTTCATGTAATTTATTAGATAAGATTATCTTACATAGTAAACTAAAACCAATCTATATTATACTTATCAGTGCAGTGGCTAGTTTATCTAGTATACTAATGAAATATCATTTCTTAATGTTATTCATGTGCGACCGAATCCCTAAGATATAAATAGGTTCAACGCAACAGCACTTCCCTCCAGTTTTCTAAACTATTTTCTAAACATGGGTATATTATTGTATTTAGATGTCCACAAGACAAAGGAAATGATAATTATCATAAGCCTTAAGTTTTCATATAAGCAGTCATCAGAATTGGAGTACTGAATAAGGCACTTTACTGAAGTAACTCACATTAAACCATTATGAGTATTTTCATAGCACTAACTATCAATGTGTTTGAACGCCTTATTTATGAAGCAGGTTATTTCACAATGACGTATTGGAACAAAATCAACTAGTACTTCATACAATAATTCCATGGAAACACAGTCAAAGATAGTTCTAAATGACATGAAGGAAATTCTTGTATGTTATTTACACTTTCTAAAGGCTTATTCACAGCACCGGTAGAAGATTACACATTTTTAAAAAGTGCTTTGATCTAAACATACATCTTATCAAGTGAACTGTACAGCTACCAGATCCTGAAGGAGTTGTTAGGTAATCCAGAACGTGAGAAATCAGCTATTCGTAGAAATTCGTGTCCGAAAGTTATAATTCATATTAACCTGAGATATGTCCAGCACATGACACGTAAGTGCGCCGAAAGTGTGGGAATATATACATTTAAGTTGGTAATCATAACTATCATTTTGATTGATTTTCAGACACAACCACAAAACGGTATTATCTTAAAAACCAATGAAGTATTTTAAAGTAATCCCAGTTCCACTCATTTGTAAGCTCAGAAAACTGAATCTTCTTATATTCACAATAAAAATGGGAACTAGGTGGCCCTTAATAACACTAGTCCGTGGTACTAGATGAAATGAATCTTCGTGCATTCTTCAACAAAATCTCCGGGAAGACTGGATTCTATGCCGAAACTCCCCATTTTTCTTTCTGAGTTAATCCTAAAATATATGTCCATTCATTTGATTGAATCCAACTTTTGTATAGAAGGTTTCAGACTGAAAACACGACTTTTTAAATTGTTGCATTAATCAGTCATTCAGTAGTAGCAAACATTATACTGTCTTGACCTCAGTGCTAAACGAAATCTCCTAATAGAGCCCTTGGTATTTTTAAAAATAAGTTATCCATTTTATAAACATACTTGCAAAGGGTTAACTATCTATTCTCTTCATTTTATGTATAGACGAGATAGAAATAAATTCCTAATTAAGTGGCTTCATGTATTTTTAGACGTGAACCACACCCAAGCATCTCAAAACTGGATAAATCTGAGATTCAGAATGTAAATGAATACCTAATGAGAATATTCTAAGATTAAAATATGCAATCTTTTCCAATCTTGAACTTTAAGCAATCTCAATCTGATTCAAATATCAAATCATGTATCTTCAATAAAATCTGCACATCCTAATAGGTCTTTGAGTCTCAGATTGCATGTTTCATAGGACTAAATTTTAATTGCTAAATGATTTATTCCTAATACCTAAATGTTGTATATAGGATGGGAATTAACTTTGGAAGTCCTATTTTGTTCTACTACTTTATTATCGTTCTCTGATGTTCACTATTTCCTCTTTTCTTACTATCAGAAGAATAAACTACAAAGAAACAAGCTGGTGTACTATTATTGTAGCTATTTAAACTAAACCACTAAATTCTGTCAACTAAAGTAGAGATTAGAAAGTAAAATCACTGCCATATTCTCTATGTGAAAGAGCACACATGATATATGATATGTTCAGCCTTTTATTAACTGATATTTATTCAGAAAGCGTGTTGACGATGTTACTCTCTCCGTTGATAAGTTATTTGAATCTTCCACCTGTGCCGTTATAGTAAAACTACCAACTATTCAGTAGTGAAAGCAGTAAACAAATGAGTGAAATACTAGGGTAACCTAGATTCAGTGCTACGCTCTGTAAAGAATGAACTTTCGAATGATAAAATCTTTTCAGCTGGAGTAAAACAGTTTAGTTAATTCGATATAAACAACCAGAAACAAGAAATTTTCGATTTACTCTTGTGAAAAACAATGATTTCTGGTATTAAAAAATTTTTTTTTCATCACTTTTATTTTTCTATTATTAGGGTACTTTGTGCAGAGATTTCCTGAAGGAATACTTTTGTCCATTGTGTGCAGCTTGTCAGTTAGATCGTGATATGAAATATGTGGAGGCGACTAGTGGGATATTAAATGTTTGAAGAGAAACAAACAGTTTTATAGCTCAGTTTGTGTTTTTCTTCTGCTACTTCTTTAATGTTTTGATAAATATTTATTCATCACTTTAAAGTCATGATATTCTTATCCTCTTGTTGTAAAAGGTATAGTTTACAAATTCTATGAACCATTCTATCATGTTTAAAATAATTTTCAATCATTGCACTGGCTTTTTTGTTTTATTATGAAATACTCACAATGATGCATTTGTATGATAAATATAAATACAAATTTTAATCCGATCAACCATTGTAGACTTAATTTGACTCATATTTTCATATAGTGATGAGCGGTAAGTTCAAAGTGTCTACCAAGTAATATTCAAAAACATTAAAGCTAGAAGGAAAATATTGTCCATTATATTTTACAAGTTCTTTAGTTGATACTGACTGACTGTGATCAACTCCATGAAATATTTAAATGATCTAATATTTTGGTGTAAATCTATGTTAATGAAAAGGTCTGTCAGAGAATGTTTATAGCAATGATCAATTGATTTAATTCGATTTGTTCATCGAAGCAGTAAAAAATTATTTAATGAATACAGAAGATGTAATATTTAGTTAATTGAAAATGTAGATTTATTTTCTTCCAATCAGGTGTTACATTCATAAATAGATGTATAAAAACTATGATTGGAATTAAGTCAGAGATTAATCTTATATTGTATGTAGTTAAACGATCTTAAATAAAACTGAAGGAAAGTATATTCTGTTATTATTGAATGGTAAACTGAGTTCCCTAGCAAAAAAGTATTGTGTGACCTTTGCGAAACTATAAGTTCTTGTCTGGATATTATTTATTTTATTCAACTATCAGATCAGCTAGACAAGTACAGTGAATACTGGAAAGTAATTAGCGTTTACCAAATATACACGATCAAGGAAAATTATAACATGAATAATTTGACTATTAATGCCACTCTTATACAATAGAATACAAAATCAAAACGTCACAGCATTCGACAACACAACAATGACAAACAGCAACGAATGTTTTACAGGAATAAATATGATAGCAAACGCTTATAATTTATACCGTATCACTCCACTATGTCACACAATAGTCTCAGTCGATCACCATAAAATTATGGCTACTGAAAGATCAACGGAATAGAGTATGGGCAGACCTCTGAAGTTATAGATAGTATTAATATGACAACAGCGCTGATATCACCTACTGACTTGATGTACACGCGTCATGTGTGAGATTTGTGTTTTTTCTGAAGGTATCATTTTTGCAAATCTACTGACATACATCCAAATCTACTTAACGGAACGGTGATGAAAATGTTATGAAAAACATGATCATCTGGCCCACTACTCATCAGTTACTTAACGATTAAACTATACCATCTATATATACCATCTTTCTGACATATTCTCAAGTAAAAAGCTTCAACAGGTTTATAATTTGTCATCGTCATTTCGGTTGGTTATGTCATGCTAAGAATGATACTCAGATGTTGTCTGGGTACTACTGACTCTGCTTCAATCACAATCTCATTCTACATTCATAATAATATGCATGAATCGTTAGTTGAAATGCTGTTTAATCTAGGAAATTGAGTTAAGTGAATAGGTTGGTACTTTATTCTCACAATGGACAAAATTTTACTCAGTTTCTCGTCATAGAAATGAAGTAGTTTGAAGAAAAGTTCCGTTAATTTATTAGAAACTTCTAAAATCTTTCAGCATACAAAACTAAAGGAATTGCAATTTGAAAAAAATAGATCTGAAACACCAGATCGAAATCGAAATGATACAATAACAGTATGAAACCACCTTTAGGTTTTCTAAAGAAGAAAATCACAGAGCTGAATGAAACACTATTTTGGAATATTCTGATGAAGCTTTGTTCAATCTTCTAGTTAATTACCATTTGAAAATATACTGAATGTAACGAATCCTCTTTTCATGAGACTCTGATGAAATTTTTTAAAAATGTTGTATAGTTAGCGTTATCATAAATTAGCTTTATTAGATTTTCTTAATAATACTAAGGAATAAAAAGCTGTCGAATTCCTTCCAATAAACAGTATTCTACAAAGAAATTCCCCCCTTAAATTCTAAGTGATAGAACATGAAAACTCTTTAAACAACATGATCAATGAATTTTTTAGTTTAATAACTTTGTAGGCAGTACGTAGTGATGGAAGATTCATAGAATCATTTGTACTGATTGACTGATGGTGTCAAAGACGTTTCTTATATTAACAACAAGTTTCCCTAGTATTAATAGAAAATAAGTGATCAGTCTATTAGAAGAATTGCTGATAAATAGATTATTTTCACAGATTTACATTTTATAAAAGTTCGACATCAGAGTCAGTAATATTTACCCCAACTGTGTCAAACAAAATAATTTAGTTATCGTTATGTTACCATCTGTAAACAAACTATTTTAAACTTATTAACTGAAGTGATTTTGATGGCGAGGGGAGGCACATTTCATAGATTTTGAAATGAAATTAGTTAGAGAATTAATAAAGATCATGGAGTTCTGTATGGCCAATTCATTTTATTTTGTGACTTCTAAAAATTACATAATCATGACTCCCACAGCCTTAGTTTTCGATAGTGCTTCAAGTAGTCATTTTGTTGATAAATATTACGTATGTAATTATTTTGGCGGTCTTTCAGTTATTCCATACTTCATGTAAAAGCTTGAAGAGCTTAAGTGAACATTTACTAGTGTCATATTTCGAAATTATCAGGAGTTTTTAGTTACATTATAACATATTAACACTCGACAACCTTAACTATCTCAAAAAGTAATCTTGTCATTTGTATGATATTGTTATGATGTATGTGTATACATCTGACGAAAACTTCATGTACGTACATGTTATTTTGTGGAAAATAAAGTCTTTTGTCTAGTGATAATTGACAAAGACTTTAAAACATAACTGACTATTGTCATGACTGATTTTATTTTCTATTGACTTAATAAAATCTTGGCACTGTCAAGACTAAGTTATAACACATATTTCTCACATTTAACAAATCTTAGCGCATACGACCTTGAGCATAACTTATGAGCTATTTCTTCTCAGATGATGATATAAGATAATTAACAGTCGTCTTCTAGTGTTTTGATTAAGTGAGCTGACCTAGCTAGCAAGTCACTCTCTATGTAAATGCTATTCATGCCTCGATACCTATATTCCACCCACTAAAGTCTTCTGTGTTATATTGTAAACACCGGTTTAAATACTCAACCTGAGATTTCTAAATTCATTGTTCACTAGACCGGTTGTTGTTCAATTGTATGCAAATAAAATACACTTTTGTGGTATAAGAAGCCAAATTTTTTCAAGATGCTTCCAAGTGTATAGGTATTTCATGTTACTCTAACTATAAATAAGATCATAGTGATCAGTAACACTATTATATACAGTAGGACATCTAAATTTTGTTTTATTAAACTCTGATCTTATATAGAATCATGGCTCAAATTACGATGGCAGAATTTTTCACTGATAATTTACCGGACATCAATTAACTTTCCTAAACTCTTAGAAATAAGTCTTTATTTATAAACTATAATGAACATGTAGATTTACAGCTTACAAAATAATACAATAAAGTTAATTTGGTTTATATGCGTTGTCGTTCCACCGCCAAAACAGTTTATCAAGGGAATCAAATGTGAGATAAGATGTCTGTAAAGGTTGCATTACATTAAAAGTAGTTTTCATTATCGATTGACAAAATTTGTAAAACCACTGATAAACAAAAAGAAATAAACAATTGCTTTGATTTAGTTTGAGTTTTTTTCAGAAGTGGGAACGCCGAATTACTTCAAAGGACGCTTTTAGGGCCTGCAGGCCTTGCAGTAAACATAATACTCGAATATCACTAAGTCGGTATTCAGTAGTTAGTGGATACAATTAAGTGACTGTAATACAACGTTACACAAAAGTAAAAACAAAACAAGTTATATAATAATTTCTTTCTAAAAAGTCATCAGAATTAAAGACTCCTATAGTTTTGTTGATTTCGTCTGTAAACACAAACGATATGTAAACCATCCCCAAAATTATATAATATAGTAACTATATATATATTCTGAAAATAATAATTACAGAACTCATACCAGTTTACAGGAGTGATTATCTTGATATAGACGGTAATATTAAATCGGGAAGACAGATATATGATGTTAGATTGTTTAAATTGTTCTAGTTCAAAAATCCTTTGAGTAGTACATTTTTAACACGTATTTTAGCGATGAAAGACATCAGCCGGGCGCTTTTGATCCCTTCTAAGTGAACATCTTGTTGATGTATGAACAGTGTATTCAGGGTCATTTCTAGCACCATAACAAATTAATTATAATCATTTAAATCTAGAGAAAATAAAACAGAAGCAGAACACACGGAACGAAAAAAGCAACAAATACAACCATAAACCAGCCAGGTCCACCATAATATATGTGCCAGGTTATTTCATGACATACTATTCGTGTTAGATAATATTCAAATTATTTGGGGTTACCGGGTTGGTGCTAGTGTAAAGTAACGGCAGGGAGGGAGGTTTACTTAGTAAACTCAGTCATAAAAACGATTAAACAGTTAGAATTCCCGTACTCTCATTTGTGCAATGGGATATACTTACAGGCACATTTAAGGCATTTTCAGAGTTGTAAGCATCGATGCAGCGAACAAAGGATGGAAGTGATTTTATTTTACGGACAGATTGTGGTAAATTATTCCTGAGTCTGGGAAATTTACCTTTGAAGTAATTTATATGGACAGAATGAGATATTTTCAATAATGAAAATGAGTTACGGATGCAGTAACTAGGAGTTTCTGAATATTTAATTGCTTCACAGAATGTATAAGATAGTTCATTAAGCATTTTCAAGAAAAGGTTATTTTTGGTTTGAGTCTGCGCTTTCATGAAGGGACGAGTCTAAGTTTATTGCATTCGGGCTTACAATTTAAAGTAAAACCAGTCCCAAAAATGTGAGGTGTAAATCGCCTCTGAACGGATACCAGACTTAATTTATCCTTTACGTGGACACTACTTCAAATAAATAAGCAGTATTTTTTTAGTGGTCAAACACATAGTTTGTGACTCGTAGTTATGGAGCTTATGAATTATACAACCCAAAAGACGTTAAGACTTGGATCTGAGAAAGGCAAAATGTAGGAATACCTAGGTTCCAAGTCCACCACCATATGTAATTTGGATAACACCTTACCATTCATATTTAGGTCTAGGTTGCGTAAAGTTTTACCAAT